GGTTTACTTATTCTTTTTTAATATTTTTAAAAAGTGTGTGTGTGTGTGTGTGTGTGTGTGTGTGTGTGTGTGTGTATGCATGTACAGGTACCTGTAGAGTCCAGAAGATAATGCTGGATTCCCTAGAGCTAGAGTTACAGGGAGTTGTGAACTGTCCCATGTAGGTGCTGGGAACTTAACTCAGGTCCTCTGCAAGAGCAGCAAATGCTCTTAACCACTAAGCCTTCTCTCCAGTCCAGTATAACAGTATAGGCCTACTCAGGGACTGATCCAACAAGGGTAGGATTCAAGTCTAGGCATGTAGAGTATTCTACAATTAAATGCAATGCTGTGCTAAGCACTGAAGAATTCATTTAATCTTCCTAACATTGCAGAGGTAGACATTATCATTCTGATTTTATGGATAAGGAAACCTAAGTGCATGTGTATGTCAACGCTCACACACACACACACACACACACACACACACACACACATACACACACACACTCATAGAAGATGGTTGGTAAGAACAGAACAGAAAACAGTTTGGTCAGTTCTTCAAAATGAATTACCAGATGACCCAGTGTGCTGGTTAGTTTTTGTCAACTTGATACCGACTAGAAATACCAGGGAAAAGGGACCCTCAATTGGAGAATTTCCTCCATTGGAATTGCCTATGGTCATGCCTATTGCTGATTGATTTGGGAGGGCCCAGTGCACAGTGGCAGCCATGGGAGGGTGACCCTGGGTTGTGTAAGAAAGCAGGCTGTGCACAGGCAGGAGGAGCAAACCAGTAAGCAGTGTTCCTCATGGTCTGTGCTTTGTTCCTGTCTCCAGATCTCTACCCTGAGTTCCCACTTGACTTCTCTCAAAGATGAACTGTCACTTGGAAGTGTAAGATGTAATAAACCTTTTCCTCCCCAAGTTGTTTTCAGTCAGAGTGTTTTCTCACAGCAATAGAAGGCAACTAGAACACCCAGTAATTTCACTCCTAGGTGTATAGCCATGAATGACGTAACATATTCCACCCCAAAGCTTGTGAGTGCTCATAGCACTACTATCAGGAGAAGAACCCCCTCCAAAAAACAAAAAGCAAAAAAGATAACCCAAGCCCAGAAGTAACTCAAATGTCTATCAACAGATGACGGGTAAATACAATTCAACACATGGGTACAGTAGAAAATCTGGCCATATGAAGAACTGAAATACTGATTCATACGACAACCGACAACATGGGATGAATCTCGAAAACACTGTACTAAGCCAAGGAAGCCAGTGGAAAAGATCACACGGTAAATTATTCTCCTTACGTGAAGTGAACAGGAAAGGCAGAAAGTAAATTAGCAGTTGGCTGGGGCTGATGACTGGGGGATGGGAAACAACTGCGACAGGGCATAAGGTTTCTGAAGGGTGACCAAAATGCTGCAGAGATAGTGGTGATGGTTGTACTACTTTGTAAAAAAAATACTAAACCCCACTGGATTGTACACTTTAGATTAATAAACAATATGGTGAATTCTATCTCAATAATGCTTTAACAAAAATTAACACATATACAGATCGATGCACTAGAACCACAAAACACTGCTAAGAAAATTTTCCAAAAAAAGCAAGTATATGAAGAAAACACAGTATTCATGAATTGAAAGCCTTAAGATAATGATTCTCCCCAATTTCATCGAGATTTAATACAGTTCCATTCAAAACCCCAGCAGGTTTCATCATAGAACTGACAGGCTGATTATAGTTTACGGGGCTGTTCAGGTTTCATTTCTGTTGTTGAGATGAAGTACCCAACACAAAGCAGCTTAGAGGAAAAGGGGGCTTACTTGCTTACAGCCCATTACTGTGGGGAAGTCAAGGCAAGAACCTGAAGTGTCACATCCACAGTCTAGAGCAGAAAGAATAAACAGGTGGATCCTTGCTTGCTTACTTACTCTAACATGATTCCCAGCCCAGCCCTGGGATGGTGCCACCCACTGATTAAAGGAAGATTTATCAATTAACAATCAGGATAATCCCCCACAGACATGCTTGCAGGCCAATCTCATGGAGGAAATCCCTAAACTGATCTTCCCTTCCTAATGACTCTAGGTTGTATCAGCTTGACTGATAAAACTGAAAAGCACAGGGACCTAAAGTACAAGAAAAACCAAGGGCTGTGGATATATCTCAGTGGCAGAGCACTTGTCTAGCACGTGTGAGGATTCCTAGCACTGCAAAAATATAATGAAGAAAAAAAATTTTTTTAAAGGTCAGTGGCCAGGCGTGGTGGCACACGCCTTTAATCCCAGCACTTGGGAGACAGAGGCAGGCAGATCTCTGTGAGTTCAAGGCCAGCCTGGTCTACATAGTGAGGACAGCTGGAGCTACAGGGAAACCCTGTCTCCAAAAGGCCAAAAAAAGAAAAAATTTAAAGACTAGTATTTAAGATACGTTACACCGTCCTAAAGAGGGGCAGTGACTACCGTGAATACAGTTTCAGGCAGCAAAGCCATTCATACACTGACTTTAGCAAGTTTATCAGCATGATTCCAGATAAAGGAAAGTCAACAAATGGTGTTAGAATAACTAATTCAGGGGCTGAGAGGGCAGCTCAGAGGCACAGATCTTACCTAGCACATGCAGGCCTTGGCTTCAATCACCAGCACCACACAAAAAAATACAGAATCAAGGCTCTATCTCAAACCAACCACAAAAACTAACATAAAAGCAGTCATAGATCTAAACACAAAAGCTAAAACTATAAAACAGACTATACAAGAGAAAAACTTTATATGTGGGAATAAACAAAAATCACTAACCTATAAGAAGCTACTGATCGAGTGGACTTTCTCAAAATTGAGTGTTTCTGCTCTTCAAAAGGCAGTATGAGAAAGGTGAGAATGCATACCATTCACTACGAAAAATATATACAGTAAATACTCACCCGCCAAAGTCTTATGACCAATCAACACAAAAAACTTTTAACACTCAATAATAAGGCAACTTGGGCTGGAGAGATGGCTTAGGGGTTGAGAGCGTATACTGCTCTGTTTCCCAGCACCCATGTTGGGCTGATGACAACTGCCTAAAACACCATTTCCAGGAGATCTGACACCCTCTTCTGGCCTCCAAGGGCACCTGCACTCATGTGCACATACCCTCACACACACACATAATTTGAAAAATAAAGAGTACAAAAGAAAATAAAACAATTTAATTTTTAGTAGCAAAAGAGACCACAGAAATGACCAATAATTCTGGGAAGATGCTCAGCATCACCATTAGGGAAATATAAATCAACCACAGTGAAATGTCATAATGCTCTAAAATAGTTAACATAAAAATGGGTGAATTTACACACGTGTAGGCAATATACTCATACACATAAAATAAAAATAAATAAAATATTTTAAAAAGTTTTTTAAAAGAGTGATTGTTGCTGACGTGGTGGCACACGCCTTTAATCTCAGCACTTGGGAGGCAGAGACAGGTGGATCTCTGTGAGTTTGAGGCCAGCCTGGTCTACTTAGCGAGTGCCAGGCCAGCTGGGACTACAGGAAGACCCTGTCTCAAAAATACCAAAAAAGAAAAAAAAAAAAAAAGTGATTGCTGAGCAAGTTAAGATCTTGTGCACTGTTCGAAGAAGTATTTAACTGTATCAACCCATTGGAAAACTATTTGGCAGTTGTGAATTATAACTTATATGTACTTGCCAGGCGTGGTGGCACATGCCTTTAGGCTCAAGCACTCGGGAGGCAGAGGCAGGGGGATCTCTGAGTTCAAGACCATCCTGGTTTACATAGTGGCCAGCTGGGGCCAGGGAGACCCTGCCTCAAAAAAAAAAAAAAGTTATACGTACCTAGCAATTATATTCCTAGGTATTTAACCAAGAAATGAAGATTTATATATGAATTTCAAGGCAGTTTTATTAAAGAGAGGAAAAAACTTAGAAACAACCCGAATATTCTGCAACTGGTAAATGGACAAATTGTGATACTCATTCAAAAGGATACTATTTGACTACAAAAGGATTCCAGCTTCTGATACATACGGATAAATTTCAGAAGCACGGGGCCTAAAGAAGCCACACCAAAAGACACACTTTTGCTGCTTATGTTGCTACTGCCTTTCCTTTGTTTGCTTGTTTTAAAGACAAGCTCCCCACAAACTGCAATGGGGTTGTCTCAGTCCCCCAAGGCCTGGGATTTGAAGCCTATGTCACCATACTTGGCTCTAAAAAAATACATTCTTTATGATTTCATCTACTTGAAATTTTAGAAATATAAAACTAATCTACACTGGTAAAAGTCAGCTTAGTAGTTTCTTGGAATGGTGGGTACTGTGAGGCTGACTGGGAAGAGGCCAAAGGAGGGACCTTACAGGCTGGCAGAAAAGTTCTGTGTCTTGATTTATGGGTGGTTACACAACTACATATACTGGTTAATAATCATTGGTCTTTATGTTAAAATGGGCACACATTATTATATACCTATTATTTTATTCTTCAAGAGAATTCATTAAAAGTAAATGTATATAAATGTTTATAAATGTACTTTTTTTTAATAGCAACTTAAAGACAGGGTGAACAAAGTGCAAGATAAAATAAAGTGGGCTATAGTCAGAAACACAGAAGACTGTGAACTATTACATTTTTTTTCCTTCCAGGGAAGTTTCAATAACTAGTAAGAAAATTATCAGGTGACACCAGAGTACTAAAGATTATCAATTAATTTCAAAACCAACCTTGAAGTTTAAGAAAACATTCATTTTCTAAAGACATTCCTACATCATGATGAAAATATTCAACAGGGGAGACAGGCAAGACCTCAAGCACTGTTTTCTGTCTTCTGCTTTGGGATGACAGTGCTATTATTTGAAACATCTTATTTCATTGACCAGCATCATCAATGCTGAATGATTCATCAAAGAGATTCCGGTACAAAGTAAAGCTGGAAATCAATAACTCTCCAATATCAGAGACAGCTGGAAGAATAAAAATCCCAGCTGGAATCTGCTGGTCAGATAGTACTCACCTATTCCACAAGAGACCAGTACTTGCAGTTACTGCAGATGCGCCCAAGAAAGCCACCATCATTAGTCTTCGCCTGGTCTGTGTGGGATGTGACGCTCCATGGTACCACCGAGAGCCCACAGCTAGTTCTGCCAATGCAGAAAGGGCATTAAGACGAAACATCCTGTGGACAAACAGTAGAAATGTCACTTCTAAGCTGCTGCTGCTGGTGTCAATGATAACGATGATGATGATGATGATGATGATGGCAGTAACATCACCAAGAAACACTGATTAAGTACTCATTTGATGTCACACACAATCTAAGTGCTTAGCATATATTAGCCTCAGAAAAATTTATGAGAAAGTACCAGTACTCATAAATAAAATATATCAAAGTATGGCCAGGTGTGGTGGCACACGCCTTTAATCCCAGCACTCGGGAGGCAGAAGGCAGGTGGATCTCTGTGAGTTCAAGGCCACCTTGGTCTGCAAAGTGAGTTCCAGGACAGCTGGGGCTACAGGGAGATCCTGTCTCAAAAAGACCAAATAAATAAATAAATAAACAAACAAATAAATAATATCAAAGTAAAATTAGAAAACAGAAATCACATGATAACTTGGGGAATTCTTATATAAAACAGTATTAATTGTAATAGGAAATTAATTACTCAGAAGTAAAGCAATAGAAGATACAAGAAGCAGCCACTACTCTGAGGGTAATCAGAGAATACCAGGAAGGGCCAGTCCAACCAGGGATGAGTTCTAAACCTCGAGGAAAACAGAGGCTTCAGAATTTTACGAAGGTATAACACCAGCAGAATTCACTAGAAAGCCACTCTGGGATGCCAGAGAAAGCTACAGAGACCTCATGCCAGCCGACTTTGTTGGGAAGGGGTTCTTTGGGGGCTAGGGAAACCTCTCAAGGGGAGACACCATAGTAAGTAATTCACTAGGAAATTGCACGTGAGAGAGTTGCGGCCGAAACTCCCTAGAGCTGAGAACTACTGAATGTCCCACTACAGCGCGTATGCCACAGCAGCCAAATGTGAAGATCACACAGTGGGGAAGGAACACCCCTTCCTTCTGCAGCCCCTCTACTGTCTGTTGAACAGTAACTGGCAGAGAGAAATTTCCAGGCTCACAGACAGGACAATGAAAACCAGATCTGGAACTGAAAAGCAATGGACACTCACTGAGTGTCACTCAATGGATTCACTCACTTTACAAGTATAAAGTGTGCGCTAAAAAGCAGGGGATGCAGAACTTCCATCTGGAAGAGTTTGCATTGCGTACTTTATTTAATGCTGATAGGTGCTTTTGTTAAAATTATTTAAGTTTTAATTAACGCTTCTTCATGCCTAGGACCTTAGAAACCTTCTTTCCCACTAGATTCTTTTCATTCCATACTTAAAATATCACTAAAGAAACTAAAAGCCAGGTGTGGTGGCCCATGCCTTTACAGGCTAGCCTGGTCTACATAGTGAGTTCCAGGACAGCTGGGGTTACAGGGAGACCCTGTCTCAAAAAGGCCAAAAAAAAAAAAAAAATTCCTTCAATGTTTTGTTTTATAGCAGAGACATCTGAGACCTTCTCACCAAGATGGTACCAAGAGTGAAGTTCTCTCCCTTCCAAAGCTATACCTGACACAAAGGTTTGAAAGGCTGACTTAAAACTGTTCACAGCCACAAAAAAGATGTTTATGTCCGGCACCTTCCAGGCAGCCAGGACACTGGAAGCAGGCCAGTGCCAGTCCTCGGAAAAGCACTTCAGGAGAAACAAGCCTGGCCATTATGGCTCATTCAAGTTCTCCACTGAGGAACACAAAAGATAACACACTTAGGTTGGAGTGATGGCTCAGTGGTTCGGAGCACTTAGTGCTCCTGCAAAGAAGGGGTTCTGTTTGGTCCCCAGCACCTCCAGCTCACAGCTCTACATAGCTCAAGTTCTAGGGGACCCAACACCTTCTTCCAGCCTCTACAGACACTGGACACATGCGGTGTACATATACACCTGCAGATAAACCCTTATACACACAAAATACATTTTTAAAAAAAGTTTTAAACAAAAGACAACACACTTGTGCTCCCCACAGATGTCAAGGGCAACAAGCGCCAGATCACACAGGCTGTAAAGCTCTGTGACACTGCTGTGGCCAAAGTCAACACCCTGCTGAGTACTGATGGAGAGAAGGCTTATGCTCCACTGGTTCCTGACTTATGATGCTTTGCATGTTGCCAGTGAAAATGGGACTGTCTATACTGAGTGTAGCTGATTAATTCTAAATAGATATTTTTCATCCTAAGAAATATCTGTATTAGTTCATATTATTGTTCAATTGACATCCTTCTTCATACCCCCATTCTATAGGCAAACTGCTTTCCTGTTCTTTCCATTTTGGGTGTGTTTTACCATGTTCCTCACTTTGGCCAATGGAACACACACTAATTCCACCAAGTATTTTTAAGAGGTACTGCTGTTAGCCTTCCTCTGCTCCACACAGAGATCATGCTGGAAGAAGACGCTGGCCCTTCTACCTAGGTCTCATAAGGAAGAGATCTCAGCCTGGAAAACAAACAAACAAACAAACAAAAAAACCCAAAACAAACAAACAAAAACCCCACTTGTAGGTCCAGCTGAACCAGCTGAGCACAGAGACCTGCAGTGGAAGTCACTAAGATTTGGGGTTCTTTGTTGCTAAGCAAAAGCTGGCTAATTCAACATCCAAGAGGATTACTGGGAAATTCTCACTGAACCAAGATTTATTTGAAACATTAAAAAAAAATTTCACTACATTTTCTTTCTGTCTGTGTGTCTGTATGCACAGATGTACCTGTGCCTACACATACACACACATATGCCATGGCATGTGTGTGGAGTTCAGAGGACAATTTGTGGGAGCTGGGTCTCTCTTTCCATGATGTGAGTTCCAGGGATTGAACTCAGGTTGTTAAGTTTGGTGGCAAATGCCTTTACTAGTTGAGTCATTTTGCTGGAGCTCTGAAACATTTAAAAACTGGTATTTCTAAAATGATATCTTATAGAAGTATAATGATATTATAAATGGGGACTGGAGGGGAGCACAGGTGGTAAAGTGCTGCCTTACAAGCACAAGGATCTCAATTCAATCTCCCAAACTCTTTTTAAAACAGAACAAAACAAATAAAAAACCAGGGCATGGAAGTACAAATTTGCAATCCCAGCACTGGAGAGGTAGAGATGGGCAGATCACTCACCCTGTCTTAAAAAAAAAAAAAGTGGATGCTCCCTGAATACAACCACCAATGTTGAGGTGTCTCCTGGCCTCCATACAAGCTTATACACATATGCTCATTTGCACACATATAAACACATATACAAAAATTATAAATGACAGAAAGTTAAAGACTATGTTGAGGCTGGGTTACTCAGATTTTGTTTTATTCAGATTTTAGCCTCAACAATGCAAAATTTTGACCAAATGGTGGAAATGTCTGGGGCAACCCAAAAACCTTAGGGTCATTTTGGACACTTTCATCTGGAGAATTAATGTGAAATGATTCTTTTCCCTCCAGGCCACAGGAGGCCTTTGGTTCTATTGCACCAGACAGACAGGTGGAGGAAGGGGAATCCATTAACCTTTTTGTGGGGACGATTCATTTGAATCCCACAAGTATCTATCAATGCCCCCATCCCACCCTGAACTTTCATTTTTCTCAAAGCACAGCATTCTGCTTCTTAATTTAAATTACCTAGGGCAATGTATTTGTTCATAAATTTGCTTCCCCACGTGGCCCTTCCAACAGTTCCTTCCAACATTTTTCTTCTCCTTTGTAAACACACAGCCAAGAACAGGGCTTATATCACCTGTTAACTATTTCATTTTCACATGAAAAATGCCTGCATATAATCAATTACACAGGTCCTAGCTCCTAATATTTATATATACTAGCAATCCCTTAATTTACTAAGAGAACTGTGTGCTTTACTGTTGGGGTTTAAGTCAGGTTCAATTGCTTAGTTGTGTCCTACTCACTGGTTTGGTTATCGACTCTTCTCTGAGGCTTTGGTAAATCTTGCCTCTAATCTCCTTTGTTCAAGCTAGGTCCAATTTCAAAGTTGGAGCTAAATCCTGCTGTCCTTATAGACAAAGTGGAAAAATGTTTGCTTTTTCTCCTATCTTCTGTAGCTTAAGTTTCAGTAACATAATCCCAACACCACTCCCCAGCCTCAGAAATCATCCCATTCTATTGCACATGCTATAATAAAATCCAGTATCAAGAGAGGCTGTCCATTATATTTTCTTTCCATCTGACACCTTCTGAATCACTCTTTTCTGATTCATTTAAAATTAACATTTCCCAAATCCAAACATACATCTACATAAATAGCACTGCTTTCGACTACAGCAAAAATGAGCACAACTAACACACATGTCTGGAGAAACACTACTCATCGCTGACGATCTGGGAAATTCTCAATGTGAAAAACAAGTCATATACCAATACAAAAGCAAGCTAGGAGATTGGGTCTGATCAAATCAGGAGAGTGACTAGGTAAGCCACATTCAACTAAGACGACCCTTTGAATGCCAGACTGAGGATGTGTATCACCTAGGAATTCTTAAATAGGAAAATATCATGGCAAAAAAAAAAAAAAAAAAAGGTTTAGGAGCTGGAGAGATGGCTCAGCAGTTAAGAGAGCTTGAAGCTCTTCCAGAATACCTCAGTTCAGTTCCCAGTACCCAGTGGGGTGGCTCACAACTGCCTGTAACTCCAGTTTTCAAGGGATCCGATGACCAGCACACACACACACACACACACACACACACACACACACACACACCAATCTGTTAACCAGCAATGTAGGGAAGAAATTGTAAAGAACTAAAGGCAGAGCTGAACAGTGATGTGGTAAGTGTAGGCACAAGGCAACAACTTTAGTACTAGATGATGATGAATGTCAGATTAAGATAAGCATAGAAACCAAAACCAGAATCGAACAAAGAGAAAATGATCAGATATTAGTATCTAATACACCAGTCTAGAATACACAGAAGATAAAAAGCAGAAAGAGTTTAAAATAATGACGACACCAAGGAGTACAGTAAAAGGCAGAAAGGACTAGGAATGCAGTAACTAAGCTGAAGTCTCAACCCTAGTACTAAACAACTGTGCATACGGATGTTTATCTCCTCTGGGGCAA